GTGGTGGTTTTGGTAATGGTGAAGTTGTAACTGCAAGTGTCAATTTTACAATGCACTCGTGTGATTTAGGAAGAAAATAAGAATCCACAAAACACCTCTTTTGTTGTTAAACCTCAACTTCCAAAGAAAACACTTCAAATTGTTTGATTACTTCATTAAGGTCATTGGGCTAACAAAACATTCCAGATTGTATGATCTTTCAGAAATTAAAGGTTAGGGTAGCACCCAGGCCAATAAGGAAGGGATTAGTGTTCCTACTTTCATGGAGAATGGCTTACTGAAAAATTGCTCCAAAGAGGAACAAGCTACTGATTATATGACCAATAAAATCAGATCCAGAGCACTTTTGTCATCTGTACTCCTTAATTGTCTCACAATTTATCTCTGAGGTTCAGTGAGAACATAGAAAAAAAAGTAGTGTGACAATACAGAGCTAGAAATGTGAACTTGATGATACTTTAGTTCTATACATACATGTGACACTTGGAAATGCACCTATACACTCACTAGTAACACACAGATATCAATAAGATTGAAGCTGCATTTCCTTAATTGGATTTGTTCAATACCATACAGAAAGCTATCTAAAAATAAATGTGTAACATTACAGTGAAAGGTATTGATAACAACCCAATTTTAAAAGTTTCCTTTTAAAATTACCTAGATGATACAATCTCTTTTTCAGTTGTTGGTCCAAAACTGCATTATTATTCATTATTCTAGAATACTACAGGAGGTTAAGAGTGATATTCCCAGAAAATGGGGTTTACAAGCAACTCCCTCTGTGTTGTCAAACACAGCTTCCCTTGCAGGATACAGAGGTTTTTAGTATGACGTTGTTCAAATAATAGAATCTGATCCAATATTTTTTTAATCTCAAAGTAACTTTCCTATTTAATTATCTAGGGGAAGAATAAAGTAGGGGGTAACAATGCTCAATAAGAAATGTACTCATTACCTTACGCATGTAACTGTAACTCCTCTCTACAGTGTCTGTACAATAAAAATTATGAAAAAAAGAAATGAACTCATTACTGGACTTAGGTAGCTGCAATCCCTCTGTTCACCTTTAGGATAAAAAGTTAAAAATTATCTGAAATTCTATAAAATGTTATTTTAAAAATTAGATTATGAACATTAGTGAATCCAACAATGACTGTGATTAGACTGTGAGTATAAAAACTGGTATATGCAGCCAGGCACTAGTGGTTCACACCTGTAATCAAAACTACTCAGGAAGCTAAGATCTGAGGATCAAAATCCAAAGCCAGCCCAGATCTAAAGTCCTTGAGACTCTTATCTTAAATTAACCAGGGAAATGACAGAAGTAGAGAGCTAAGGTTCAAGTAGTAGAGCTCTAGCCTTGAGCAAAATAGCCTGGGGACAGTAATCAGGCACCAAAAAAATAAATAAATAAATAAACAAAGAAAAACCCAAACCCACTGGTATTTCTCAGATATTTGTCTCTTACAGAGACAAGGTCTCTTACTCTTTACCTACTCCCTAACACTATGATACTAAGAAAATAAATCTTTGGCCAGATATATTTTTTTTCTCAAAGTATAAAAAAGTAGAAAAAACTAATGAGATGGAAGTTATTTCTGAATTATGTGAACAATTAGATAAAATAATTCTCCATAAGGAAACAAAGCAAAAAATTCTAATTTAAGGGATCAAACATCATCCTTCTTGAAATCTAATTAGCTTGTAACAGCATTAAGTCGAAATTTTTCATTAGGTTAATCTACATATCATTTAGTTCAATATTGCCTTTATACTTGTCTTATACTTAGATAGATAGATTCCAAATTTTATATTTAAAAAATCTAAAAGAATCTAACAAGTCATCTAACAGGCCTGACCTGGCAGCTCATATGAACTTGTAAATGTGAAAAATAAGAAGCTATATAAAGATTATTACTATGAGCATTTGCATGATGTTGATATTTGATAACTATGTATTTTCAAATACTTCTTTGACTTGAAGATGCTAACACATCCAATTTTGAAAACATAAACAGTTCTATTTATTAATTCAGACCATTTGAGATGATTAAGTTGTAGTGTTCTTAAAAAAAAATCTAGAACTGGAGAAACTCTTCCTATGCCTTCAAACCCTGTAGCCTTTACACATTTTCACAAAGAAACCCTTTCAATCATCTTTTGAAATGCAGGTGTGCAAATTACTCTTGAAATAGACAGGAGTCAAGTTTTCAGGATCCCCTAAACCATTGTTAATCACACCCTGTAGCATTTTTCAGCTCATAAAAATTTTATGAGCTGAAAAATTCCTTCAGGTTTTTTAACTGCTAACTACAGTTGCCCTCTAGCAACAGAACTTTAGACTGCTATTAAGATTCGTTTGAGCAAATATAACATAAGCATGTCATGGGTAGCATGTTTTGTTTAATAGTATTTTGAAGAGAAAAAAGAAATCGGGAGTTATACGACTTGCTGAGCATAGCAAAAATTATGAATGCCTTGGTTAAGCATAGCATGGAGTGGCTTGTTTGCTTATTTGAATACGCAATGTACATAGTAAAGACCAATTGTAATGTAGTGAATAGATTCACACAAGGTCACACATGCACCAAAGATTGTCTACTCTGACAACATAAAAAGATCAGTTTTTCCAAGAACACATACATTTTTCCTTACTCATAATATACACCTGCCTTACAACTCATTACTGAACATCTGCTTTAATGATTTTTTTCTTCCTAAAGTTTAAGATGTTAGAAAATTAAATTTCTCTTGGAAAACAAATAGGAGCAGTGTAAGTGAGCAGCTGGCTGGAGTAAACCTCATTGTCTTCTAAAGACAATATATAAGATTGCTAATCTTAAGGAGAAAAGTATATATAGAGAACAAGAAATCCCAAGATGATAATTAGACATCTCCATATTTGCATTCCTTCCCCATTGGAATTCTGCCTGATGGAGTGACTAAGTATTCCATATAATTTTCTGTGTAAGTATTATCAACACATAATAAAACTAGCTTGGGAGCAAGCAAAGCACGGCCCCATCTGTTAAATGTGAAAAAATAAAAACACCAACTTTCCCAATTTTAGCGCCATTACATTCACAACTTGCATACAAACATCTACTTTTTTATCAATTGATTCAATATTAGGTTGCTCAGATCTTCCCTTGTGCAACCAATTATAACTAAGTTTTGTTGAAGTGTTTTTCCTCTCCTGATGACTTCTATCTCTTCTGGGAATATCAAGTTTTATTTTTTCTATTGCATTTTAATAATCCTAACCTTAACCCAGTTTCCCATTTATAAAAGTTGTTACAATCAGAATATTTTAGTATTTTATATTTTTGGATTTCTTCTTAGTATATATGTATACTAATGTGTATACACACACATAACTGACTGATATATATTGAGAAAAAGACACTATATAGTTAAAGTATTTTCAAAATTATCAAATTAAGTTGTGTTAGTAATTTACTTCCTTACATATTAATGTGCTTTCTCTCCTACTGTTACTTTTTTCTGTCATTTTAAAAAAATTCTGATAACAGCAACACCCACTCCTATATCTTGTCATATCCTCCATTTTCCTTCCGCAGTTTTGGAAAATGGAAAGAAATATAGAAGAGTAGAATGCTACCATTTCCATGAAACAGCTTACTAAGAAATCATGCTTCAATCCTAGTCACTTTAAAGTACACCAAGAAATAAAGATTTGCTTTGATTCTCACAGATATGTTCTCTCATATGCTATTAACTGCCACACACAAACTTTTACACCTGGAAAATTCAGGATAACAGGAGCTTATAAAAGCCATGAAGTATCCATCAACAACACTGGATGCCATCTGGCTTGACAATAAAGCTGCATGGTTGTTTTTAACACATGCAATCCTGATTGTTCTAATTAAGGATGATATCAATCTTCAGACAATGACTCCTTCCCTATAGAGTGTACATATTCCAAGTGTAAGAGTAATCTTGCTAAAAGTCATCTTTGCAGTCTGTCTTTTCAGAGCCATGACAAGGAAAAGTAAGTATTTCTGATTTTTATATTAAAATTAGAATAGAGCATCCTACTGAAATCAGTGATCTTAAGTTACAAGAGACAAACAAACCAGAACAAATCCATTGAACTGTATGTGATTTACATTCTCAACTCAGCCTACCAAATTGAAAATTAGACAAGAATTAGTCATACTGGATAATGGCAATTGAAAGTATTACAATATAAAGGAAGAATTTTCAAGAACTCTGACAAAGACTTATGATATTTGAAAGGAATAGTAGGAACCATAGGATTTCTAGAAATGAAGCAGCTAAATCGCAAAACAAATAAAGGTATTGCTGACATATCTACCTTCTGAAATTCTATCCAATACAATAAATTATAGCAATCCTTAAAAGTAAGCTTGATAGTATTTATTCTAAAAGTTTAAAGGTACATTAAGGTAACAGGAAACAAATACAATAAGCTAAAATATGCTGAATTTGATTTAGAATAGCATTCAAACTAGAAACCTATTACCCATCTCCCAAGTTTATATAACAAACCAGCAAAACATTGAAAGAAAAACAAAACAAAGCAAACCTTTAGATGTCTTTCTGTCAGACCTAGGGATATTGGGAAATCATTTTAGCTGTTCACATGGTAAGAACTAAAGGTTAATAGTTACAGACCAATGGAATGTTAACACAGTCTAGTGCTACATTTGAGTAGTAATGTATGGAAAGACACTGAAATTAAAACACTTCATTCTGAATGCTCTGAGGTGATGTAACAGTGATGATTTGGTGATATTAGATGACAAAGCAGGGCTCCTGATGGCTTTTAACACAAAAATTCATTCCTAACATTTTTCCAAATTCTATATTCTTCAAGCTCTTGTACAAATCTATGAAACTAATACATTTTTGACACTCCAGTTATCTTTTAATGACATGATTTGGTTGATTTTTTTTCCAAAAGTAACGTTCAAGATAAAATGTTGATTGCCTTGAAAGCAAAGACTTACCTGTCTTGTTTTCTCTGACCTCAATAATATAAACATTTATGTCATGGTGGAATTTTGTCCCTTCTGAGGGCTGTGGAGTGGAAAGTGCTTCTTCGCTTTCCAAAGTGGGTATTCTTGTTGGTTGGGTAGCAGAAGTCTTTGAAGTCGAATAATACTCTTTATCAATACCAGTTTCTATTGCCTTAGTTGTAGTATCAGTGAGGGTGGGGGGAGGGACCTGGGATGTTGTGTCTGTAATAAGTACTGTGTCAAGGGTACTTTTCTCAATGGGCTCCCAGTCAATGAGATGTGGCTTCTCAGTGGGTGCTGAAGGCAGTTCCAATGCTGAAGTTGGGTGAAGTCTGTCTATTGAACCGAAAGTGGCTATGATATCACTTGTAAGTTCTGTGGTTTGGGGCTTTTCAAATAATCCTGAGCCTGCCTCAATGTCATCCAGGGATGTTTTCTCTCCTTCCTCGGTGGTGGTTTCCCTGACCAGCTCGGTGACGTGAGTGCTGAAAGGACTCAAAGGTGACACAAACTCTGTTGAACTACTCCCTTCAGCTTCTGGACTTACAACTACTTTTGGCTTGATGCTCGATGTTAGTGTTACCATCTCATCTGTCTCTGCTTTGTGCTCAGTGATTGCACCAGGTGAGTATGCCAGACCATCTTCAATTTTTCCAACCGAAGTTGGTTCTAAAACAGAGATTCTGTCAGAATCTGTCACCAAACTATCTTCAAAGACTGTATATGCTGATCCGTTACCCTCTTCCTCATCGAATGGTGTTGCCTCTCTTGGCCTGCTTGCTGTAGAACTGAGAGGAGGCACTGGTTTCCTGGTGGTTTGCTCGTTCCAAATGAATTCATCCTGACTGGTTGCCTGTGTGATTTCTGTGGTTGTTCTCAATGTTTCAGAAGACATAGTTGCTTCTAGGTGAGTCTGATCAATGACTTGTATGTCTTGGGAAGGTTCACCTAGAACTTCACCTTCTGATGTAACAGAAGGTACTCCCCATTCTGTCTTGGGAATTACAGAAAAAGGAATGGTATGGGAAGTAGCCACATAAGGAGTAGGCTCCTGCGTGCTACTATCATTAACAAATGCCAAATCTTCTGCCTCTGAGATGTGTGTAATTGGAGGCAGAGTAAATAGTGGTTTGGAGGCATCTATGTCTTCTCCTTCACCCAAACCACTTTCTTCCAGTGTCACATGAACAACCTGACCTTCTGTGCTTGTAGCAGGGAGAACTCTTCCTTCAGTTGTAGACTGTCTCAGAGTTGACATCTCTGCAGTGCCAACAGATGGAGTTGGCTGATCTTGAACTGTGAATTTCCCCAAAGTGAAGTCTTTCTCAGTCAACTTTTCCAATGTTGATGGAGTACTATCTGGAATAAAAGCAACTTGATCTCTTCCTTCTTCTGTGAAACTTGGGGCTTCTTCATCCTTTCCATTCACCCCGATAGTTGTGAGGAATATGGGGGGTAATTTGGGGGCACCTGCATCTTCTGTGGCATCTAAGGGCTTTGACGTTGCATTGGTTTCTTCCCATGACCACTTTGAGACAGTGACCACCTCCACAAAAGTACTGCGGGTCAAATGAGCTGTTGTGATATCTTCATCATACTTTATAGTATCTTGAAAGTCATCTGCTTCTAATCTATGAGCTGTGGTGACTTCCTCCACATCTCTTGCTTCTGTTGGCATGGCTCTTAATTTCACTGTTGTCAGTGTTGGGGAAGGCTCTGTAAAATCAACTTGCTCAAAAGAAGGTGTAGAGACCTTCATTCCAGAGAAATCCTCTTCTTCTGGTTTATGTGTCAGTGAATCTTTGGTCACCTTTTCTTGCATTCCATCATCTGTGTAAGTGTCTGTTCTCCCCTCTGGTCTTGGTGCTGTGGTTATTTCTTTTCCTTGCGTTATTTCTGCTTGTGGTGAGGGATGAATAGCTGTGGGTGTTCCTTCTACTAACATTGAATCACCAGAATAAGGAAATAAGTCTACTTCTGTAAGATGTGGTTCAAAAGGTGTAGTAGATAAAAACTTGTCAAAAAACTCTTTAGTTGCCTTACCATTTGTTTGTTTTTCTTCTCCACTGTCTGTGGATGATCCATATTTGTCAGGCACAGTTACAGGTGAAACAACTGTGGATGCCAACATAGACTCCAGATCTTCCAGCTGAGAGGGAGTGGTATCTTCTGAGGACTTTGATACAGTAATGACTTCTGGTATTTGACTAAAGACCCAAGTGCTCTGACCAGATCTACTTGTAAGTGTTATGTCTTCACTATCATCTTCTCCCAAGGCGAATCCATAGTCACTTGTGGTCACCAATTCAGGAGTCATGCTTATGGTTTTCTTTTCAGTTACTAATGGTGTTTCCGTTATGGACAATTCCTTGGAAGGAATGTACTTTGAATTCTCTATAGATGTTAAAGGCCCCACTTCTATTTGTTCAGCCTGAGTAACAGAATCTTGTGTTTGTGTATCTTCTGTGACAGCATCCCATGCATCAGTAGCATGGTGGAAGATGTTAGTGGTACTTCTGAGTACTTCTCCCTCAATGTCAGATGTGTCTGGCTTTTCAGGTTGTCTTGAAACAGATGCTAAGGAGTTGTCCATATCCCAAGGCTTCTTCATATCCCAGGCAGGTGTGGGTGACTTAGTGACTAATCTGTCTGTGACAGCCTGTGATTGAACTGTGGATTTTTGTTCAAAATTAACTATATTTCCTGCAGGAGGGAACGTTGCAGTAATGATAGGTAATTTGGTAGTGAAAGGGATGATTGGTGTGGTTCTGTCGAGTACCATTTGTGGTTCTTTGGATAAACTGGCCGCTGCTGTTTCTATGAGGATATTCATTTCGGTGGTTGTAGCCTCTGATATATTCTGTTTTGCTAGAAAAATAATTTCAAAGAGTCGATTAGACAAGTCATTGATAAAAAGCTGTATGCCCAGTGTTTGTTTAGTGTTGCTGCATGTCCTGTGTATTATCAAGTGAATCAAAATTGTTTTGTGGTAGAAAAGAATCTAAAATGAATACTTGAATGCACCCTAAACAGTTAATTGATGGTTTCCTAGTCACAAATTGGTAAATTGTTTTATCTGGTAGGAGTCATGATTGCTTTTAGCCATAGATATGAATGACTGCTCTCCGTTAAGGAAAAAATGAATAGTATGTCATTTTAAGGCAAGAAGTCCAAAAATTATTAGTATGGAAATGGGATATACTAGACACTTTATCAAAAAGTACAGCAGCAACAAGAAGCCTAATAAAAATTGATACTATTATTCTTGGTACTGTACCCTGCTGCTAGTTTTCTCCACATAGTTCTTCCTTCTCAAACTCCAGTGTCCCAAGAGAAAGAGAATATTTCAGAATGCAAAACAAAAAAAAGTCACATCAAATGGAAACGAGTTACATATAAACCACTACATTGTCCATCAGGTGGAGACTTCCATCCAAACAAGACATTAAACATTTTGATATTATTCTTCACTTGATTCTTCCTTTCAACTGTGTTGACTAGTCTCTAATTGAAATTATAAAATATATCTGGCAGAGTCTGGCTAGCAGTTGCTGTGGTTCAACAATGTTTCTGTGTTTTCCACACCATGTTCGTATCTGTACAGGGTATTAGTGCTAGTCTTACATTAGTATGAAATGCAAATGTACAGAAGCTGAGTACCCACATGAGGTCTTTTAGATCTATAATTACAAATCACTTGAGCAACGTAGAGCATCATCAAAAAGAGTGGATTCAGGCTATCATTATAAAATACTGTATTATAGTGACTCCAGATTTATAGATAATACCTAGTCTGTTTATAGAAACTCAAACTGTATTTAAAAGTGACAGTGCTGTAACCACTAAGTGATAAAGATTGGGTTTTTCATATAAAATTGTTCTTTAGTAAGAAAAAAAATAAAAAATAAGTTGTCGCTGAATGCCAAAGTGACTATTTTGAGGAAAGCCATAGTTTCAGCTTAAGTTGCAGCTTAAAACTAGTTGTAGTAACAGATAATGCCAAATCTTGATGATACAACTTTAGTACTTGTAGATTCTATATCCCCAACAACATAAAGTTGGGCACATGTTGGCTTCACCTGCTTTGTCAAAAAAAAAATTACTGATAAGATGATATGATTTCATTGAAAATTGGAATAAGGCAATAACGATTTCTGATTGTTTTTATTTTTTTCCTGGATGCTGGACCACTAGCATGTGCTGTTAATAGCTGTCACCAGTTCCCAAAACATTTTTATAGCCTAAACACATCAATTTTTTATAACAAAAACTTGATTTTTATTTATGTTACATTTAAAACTACCTTAAAGCTTTTCACTATTTATCCCTTTTTATCTTAACAAAACGAGAAAAAGAATTGGAGTCTTTAAGCATGTGTTAAATAACTTTTTCCTCTTTATTTATAAAAGAAAGAAAACTTTCTGCCTTCATTTTCTGAAAGAAGCATTGATCTACTTTGATTGACATGAACAACTTAAAGATCCAAGAAGTATTTGACTATTTTTCTCTTAATTCTATTCTCTAACCTCGGAGATTCCATAACCGTTACCTCATTTAACTGCCAAATTTCATGTTTCTCTTATAACTGCATTCTTTTGGGAAACAGCATAAAATATGTACAGAGAAAGTTCCCATGGAAACATAATATAAACTCATAAAACTACACATTAGAGAAAAGTTAACCATTTTACTATTAAAAACAACCAAAAGCTAATTTTACCTTTTCTCTCTGCATATTTTCTTGGCTGATAAAATTAACTTTAAAGAAAGTGATATGCAGTAGAACCAAACAAAGAGCATACAAAGCTAGTATCCACATGTTCTAACACAAGCTTTCTACAAGCAAGTCTCTAAAACACTATGAAAATATTTTATAGTGTTTTTAAAATCAACTCAGATTTTAAAACTAAACATATGTCATTGTCAATTATTACTGTTCAGCTTGCTGTTGCTTTCCTTGAGCCTTATTACATAGTACAGTGATAGGAACATGTCTCAGAGCATCTGCCTTACAAAGGCAGATTTATGTGATTTTGTTTTCAGTAAAGAAAAAAAGAGGCTCTCAATCATTTTAGAGCTCTGTTTAAGAGTCTGCTTACAATTAAGTTAATTAATTCAATGACTTGGAATGGAAAAACCTCAGACTTCCTTTTGGGGTTGGGTGGCTTTTTTGTCAACCTAACAGCTGATTTCGATCATAATTCAGTATATCTGATCATCTATGCCATTTGCTTCAGCCATTCCCAAAAAGGAAATATTTTTAAAGCACCAATATCCACGAAGAGATATCTTAAGAATAAATACCACTGTGTTACTATTAAAAAGATGAAAACACAATTCTATTATTCTAAGTGTTCTTTCAGAAGACACATTCATATGGAGATGTTTTGGTCTTGGAAAACTACCAGTGTTTCTTCAACTTGATTATTGCTGAAGCCAACAAAAATTAGTATGCTTCTTTTCCCACAAAAATCTCCCTTCCAACCTTTGCAGCTGTCCAGCACACAGATGTTTTACATCACTTTACTTAACAGCATTTTATGTCCTATGAGCTATCTTCTCCATGCCTCAGTTATGAGACAGGAGGCAGATTTTTGTAATACAATATAAAACCCTATTAGCAGTACATTACATACTCTCTACATTATGGAGAGAAGGATGGATTGTAAAATGGTTCTTTGATACTAAATTTGATACACAAGTAAGTGTGAGAATGGGAAGAAATCACAAATGATGTGATATTCAATAAGTTCACGGTTGAAGGACATGTCTAAATTGTAACAGTGAGATTAGAATTTGAATTTTTTTAAGTTTTATGAGTGATTGGATACTGACTCAAGTTCAATAGACAGGACATATTTTTGAAATGCAAATTATGGAATGATTAGTTTGACCTCTAATAGATACTATGATTTAGGGCAAAACAAAAAAATAAAAATAAACATGTTACCATAGATTAGAAGGTCAGACCAATTTTAAATGTAAATATATAGGATAGCATACAAAATTGTGAGAACTAATTTAGCCTGCTGTAAACCACCAATTTTAGTTCAAAACCTAATCTAACAGAGGGCCATGAAAAGCTGGAAAGATCAAAGTAAGATCTTTTTTTGCTCATTAGAAATTTAGAAATTTAAATTTTCACACAAGGAAATTATTTCAATATGAAAATGCTAAGGGACAATTGAAGAATTGTGTTTTACAGAAATGGTTCTTTAGATTCTAGTCACTAACTTGAAAAAATGGGCTCATACTCTAATATTCAATCTCTGACATAATTATTAAAACACATGTGTGAGTGATGGTCATCAAATATTAGAATGTGTTCTCTAGGAATCATTTCTTTCTTGGAGATCACTAATAACAATAAATCAATGTGAGGTTATGAGTCTTGAATTTTTTGGTTCACTTACACTTGGAGACATTTGATATAAGCTACTTTGATATAAGTCCTGTACATATAACTTTCACAGAATTTGCCTAATTCTGAGGTCAAAGAAAAATTTTAAATGCACAACTTTCAATAAGTTAAACAGATTTGACAGACATTTACTTACCCATTTTTCAACTCTCTATTTGACAAGAATGGATTCTAACCAAAGTTAATATCACTTATTTTAAAAGTACTATGCAGTGAATTGTTATAAGAAAATGATCATAATAATAATCAAGTAAGCTTTGGAATATTCAATCACCAAATGGCTCTAAAGTACTTTCTGTATTTGATAAAGTAAAGAATCCATTTCTACCCTAACCAGGTAGCTTACATCACCAAAGTACTTTTGAACCGTGGTTGAGGCCACAAGTCTTATAAACTTTATTGTGCAGAATTCAGTCACCATTGTGATGACATTAGCCAAAGCATTTTGAGAATTTCCAAAATCTTCAAACATATATTAAATGATTAAAGTACTTCATGAGTATATATGAAAATAGAATGAAATCTATTAAAACTTTAAAAGTAGGAGGACAAGGACAAGAAATAATAATAGGATAAATTTGATCATGGCACATTGTATACATGTATGATATCACAACAAGAACTCTTTATACAATGAGTATGCACTCATAAAAAATAAAAATACATAAAAAATCCTTGGAAAATGAATTTGAAATTTGAAGAAGCTATTGGCATTGTGCATTAAGGAAAACTAAGTGTATAAATATTTTTAATCTCTTCAATGGTAAATGCATTTTAAAGATAATACCGGCTGTCTTAGGATGAAAAACATAAACAAAAATCTGGACTCCATCTTATGTAGATAAAACTCAAAATAAGGATCTATACCAGTGGCTCACACTTATAATCCTAACTACTCAGGAGGCTGAGATTTGAGATTTGAGGATGACAAATCGAAGCCATCCCAGGAAAAAAAAGTCTGAGACTTTTTCTCCAGTTATCACAAAAAGCCAGAAGTGGAGCTGTGTCTCAAGTGGTAGATTCCTAGCCTTGAGTAAAATACCTCAGAGACATCATCAAGGCCCCAAGTTCAAGCCCCAGATGGACAAAATCATCATCATCATCATCATCATCATCATCATCATCATCATCATCATCATCATCATCATCATCATCACCATCATCTATTCTTTCCAAATTCTATATATTTAAATAAATTTAAAAAATAGAACTTGGGGCTATAAATGTGGTTTAGTGGTTGAGCTCCTGCATAAAGTCCTGGGATGTATTCCTGAGTAGTACTTAACTAGAAGAAGCCAGAAGTGGTGTTGTGGCTCTAGTGGTAGAGCATTAACCTTGAGAAAGAGAGGGTCAGGGACAGAGCCCAGGCCCTGAATTTAAGCCCCAGGAATGGCAAAAAAAAACTAAATTTTTAAGTTTTTTCATGGTTTACACAGACTTTTATAAAAAAATTGTACAAAACTGATTTACCACAAATGATGAAAAATGGTATTTAAGACTAATTTTAAACAATAAACTCAAATTAAAGAAAGCCTATTTATGTTACCCATTGTAAAGAGAATATACTACCGTTAGTTCAATATAGAATTAATCATTACATAAAATAGCTTGAATATTTTTAGGTAAGTATTGGGCATCTAGGTAGGATTGAAGCATATCAGCGCCAAGTACTTACCTGAATGATTAAAATTTAAATTTTCTGCTTGCTCAAAGAAAAAAAGAACAATATAAAACAAAGACCAAATAAAGAGATTTCAAGGATTAAATGCAGCCACTGTTGGCCTCAGTATAATCATACCAACTATCAATTTGCTTCTAAAAACTGTAATAATATAAAATATTCAGTCGTCCTGGGTGCAACAGGGCAGTTAAGAGCTTAATCTGAAATTGCCTCATCCCCACTAGAAATTCATTGGCTTGTTGTCTGAACTAACTTTATTGCCATTCAATTTGCTCACTTTTGAAAATCAAGGAACTGTTCACCTTCTGTGCACAACACTACAAGATATGGAATCCATTCCAATGTCTACTTGGCCATCCACGTATGCCTTTGAAGTACTTTTATAATCTGTAATTTTTAAAATGATATCAAACACTTACGTTTAAAGCAGTAGGCATCAAATCTGCTATCAGGGGGAGGAAAGCCTGTCTGGTTCTCAAAACGATACAGGGTTCTCACCCCAAGTAGACCACCTCCACACTGGGCCCTGGCCACAGTCACAGGGTGACGCACGCTGGCATCCAGAAGCCACCCATAATCACACTGGTCATAGCCGTTTCTCCAAGCAGCCTGGAGTTCCCCAACCGTTGCGAGCCGAGCATCCTGGTCTTCACACGCTTCTGCAGCCTCCTCAAAAGTGAATTTATTGGGAATGGTGATATGGAACACATCGCCTTGAATAAGAAGAGAGGAAAGACTTTAGTTTTATAATTCACTCCTTTCTTGTTCTGACAAACATGTGAAATCTTCTTTCTATTTTTGGCATTATAAGGTAGTAATTTATGATATTGTGAAAGATAAAAATATTTTGGTTACTTTCATAAAATATAACAAAATAGCACATCTGAATGGTTTCATTATGTGTGTGTGTGTGTGTGTGTGTGTGTGTGTGTGTGTATCAGAAGATAGGCATACAAACACACATGTTTGTGTGTGTATATGTCACAAAAGTAGTCATTTAACAGTAAAATTGCAATCAAGTCTTTAAAATGAGCACATCTTTTGCAATAACTCTTCAGTTATTGTCCAGGGAATGACTTTTGCTTTTCAATGAAAGAATCTGTAATATGCTGTGTAAAATTTTACGCTGAAAAAGAAAGCCCTGTATTGAACTGACACCAACCTGGCTTCACTTTGTGTATCCAATATCTAATTCTCTGATCCTCCTTCCCGAGTATCTTTGCTATGAAGATGAATTCAACCAAATGGCTTAAGTAAGAAAATGTGCAAGAGTTTGATTCAAAAAGAAAAGAATAGCTGGGAAGGTGGCTCAGTGTTAGAGCGCTTGCCTTGCATGCATGAGGCCCTGGGTTCGATTCCTTAGCACCACATAAGCAGAAAAAGCTGGAAGTCGTGCTGTGGCTCAAGTGGTAGAGCACTAGCCTTGATCTGAAGAGCTGAGGGACAGTGCCCAGGCCCAGAGTTCAGGCACCATGATTGGCAAAAAAAAAGAAAAAAAAAGAGAAAAGAATAGAAGCACTATGGAATGCTGTTGTTCCCTTCCTTCCTGTCCCGAGTTATGTGGGTGCTGGGTGGTGGCCACAAAGCAACACAAGATCATTGAGGAAGGGGGAGGGAAGCTGGGGTGGAGAGTGCCAACATAGCTCCCACTCAGCTCATGAAAGACAAACCCTTGGGGAGGAAATGTTCTACTTGCTCTGCCCACAGAGAATTCACGTTGGAATTTGTCTGTCCAGAAAGGGTGCTTTTTTCTAATTTTCACAGACACTGTAAGTCTATCCAGGGGATCTAGCTAGGTCTGTGAGACTGTTCCATGTGCTAATTGATTAACAAGTTAAGGCAATACATTTACTTATTTTTTTTTATGATCACCAGATCCAGTTAGCAGAATGACTCTTCATTATTAGTTAAAATGCTACAATAGAAGATGCTGGAAACTTCAAAGATTGGAAAATTACTCTATTATTTGGGAAACTAGTATAACCATTTTCTAAAATAAATTCAACTCAATGATGGTTTTCCCATATGAGCATAAGTGGCTGAAAGACAGAGAAGCACTAGAGGACACCTAAGCAAATATGGCAGGTGCCAGAAGGAGTACAAGAAAATATGGATAGCCTATTATTGTAGCAGTTGTGGGTTTTGTTTCCATCTCACAGAATCCAATCTCTGATACTGTGATATATTAGAAAAGAGGGACACAAAAAACGCTCATGATTTGGATCGTCACCAGACTCAAGCCAGACATAACAAGCAATTATTTAAGATGAAGAGCAATGAGTGTAATATACAATGAGTGTATGTCTTGGTCTCTAATAAATTTTAAAAGCTGAAAGTTCTGTTGCATAGTGTATATTCAATAATATGTGCTGGTAGCTTTATTTATTTATTTTTTATTGTGAAAATACCATACAGAGGGGTTACAATTATATATATTACATACAGAGGGGCAAGATAATGAGTATATTTCTTATCAAGCATTGTTGCCTCCTCCTTTGTTTCCCCTTCCCATCCCCTCCCATCTCCTTCTCTCCCTTTCTCTCCCTCCCCCCCCACCAAAGTTGTAAAGTTCATTTTTCAACATAACAATTTGTACATCTCATTGTTGCAATGGGTCCACCTGTATCCCTGTTTAAACAATTTGTTTTGTCCCTCCCCTCCACAAATTATACCAACATCAAATACAGTGAAAGCAGAGGTTATGCCGTGGGGGAGGGACATACAAAGCAACAAAGAAATCATCTTATAAATATGTTAGAAACAATTGCATGAAAGCAAAAACATTTTAATACCTATCTTGGGGTTCATTTCACCTAACATCAACTTATAATATTTGTTAAGTAACAATTCTTATTAAGAATCAGGGTCATTTTTCCCATTTTCACATAAAGCTAACTGCTACTACTGCTGGAACCAGGCATTTATCTTGCCTTTGGACTTGGCTCAAAGCAATATGGACCAAAAAAAAGCAATACAGACAAAGGTAGATAAAGAAATGACATCACTGAGTTGTCTTATTCATCTTAGTGTCACACTTGCCTTAATCATGAATGCAATGCAAGTGTGAAAGAAGGCAGCCTGTTAATACATGTGCTTCAAAATTAGAAGATGTAGCTCTATCTATTGTTACAGCTGGAATATCAGTCTAAGGGCCTAAATTTCTTGCATTGCTCAACACTTGAACTTTAAGGCAAACTGCTGTTGTACCAACTACAAACTAGATTGTGTGTGTACAAAGTATAGATTAAGAGTAAACAGCCAGCTAGAGCAAGGGAAAGAAAAATGACCTAATTCAGTAAAGCTTTGTTTTTCTAAGGTATACCACTAATTCATCTGTTGAAGAACATTAACATATTGAAACAAGCCCAGACTAGAAGGCTAATGAGAAAAAGTGATAGATAGCATGATGATTGACTTTGCAATTTTGAGGGCACTAAAAGAGAAAAGATTTCAGTAGAATGTGGCAGGTTAAAAAGGAATTCAGTTGTTATGATTAAATCAGTAGAAGCCTTCTTACAGAGCTTTTCATGAAGAAATTCTTATCAAACATGACTGTCAAATATCAAATATTTAACATATTTTTGGAGAATACAATTACCACTTTCTCTCATTGATATCCAAAGAATAATGATTTTCCTACTTTGATTAACTTTTGTGGTCTCAAGACTGCTTACTTTCCTTTTCATTTATATGATTTCATTTACAGGAAACATTGCAAATAAAATTTTAGGAAATATACTGAGACATCAACATTAGGTTTCATCTAACTTGGATGAAAACTATTTAACTGGATCAGCTGAATTTATGTTAAGTTGGGATTTGAAAGGATTCATCATTCATCACATGTAGCATAATTATTGTTTTGTTTTAGAATAATGACAAAATAAAAAATATTTAACTGTGCTGAAAAGTTAATTTTCTAACCTTTCTAAATTATAATTGTGTAGGATGAACATTACTCACCTCAAGACTTTCAAAATATGGTAGCGATTCTAGACTATAGAATTATCTTAGTTTCTTATAGTTAACTCCCAATCCATGGCAAATGTGATAATGCTATATGTCTAATCTATGTACCAAACCTAAAATATAAAGGCCAGGATATCTGTACATGATTATGTTTCATAGAATAGTTTGTGAAACATTGCTGGAAAAATGGGCTGGGAAGGTGGTTCAGTGGTAAAGTGCTTGCCTTGCATGAATGAGCCTGGGTTTGATTCCTCAGTACCACATAAGCAGAAAAAAGCCAGAAATGGCACTGTGCCTCAAGTGATAGAGTGCTAGTGAGCTGAAGACCTAAAGGACAGCACCCAGGCCCAGAGTTCAGGCTACACGACCAACCCCTCCTGCCCCCCCCAAAAAAATGTGTTCTTAACTGATTTACAGCTAGCATAACTTAGCATTGGGTTTCTTACAAACTCTGTGTAACCTGCTCAAGACAGATGTAGAATGAGTGGACCTGGTTACCATATAGAATTAAAGCAGAAGAATATAAACTCAAGTGTTGGGGAAGCAAGCTGCCTCCTAGAATCGTGTCAAAAACAGCAGATGATCAAACAGGAGGATAGGGCAGAAAAGGGATCCCTGATCAAGGGTCTAAGAAAGAGATTTAAGCCAAACACAGAAGGAGCTCAATTTGTAAAAAGTAGGAGGCTTTCTCCCCCAAAATAAGACATGAGAGCCTGTCTTTTGGTCCCAAACTTCATAGAAAAGTGGATTTCACAGTAAACATTGAATACTCTTATAGTGAGATGAGAATTCAAGATGCTTAAAAGTTTTTATTTATTTACTTTATTTATTTACTTATTTATTTATTTATTTACTTATGTTAATGATTTTTAGTTTGTTATAGTCAAAAATTATTTACCAGTCAAATTAGATGGTCTAAGCTATAGAACAATAGAATGAAATTTGACAGAAATTAAATCCAAAACATTATGTACATGTAAATCCAGACTTGATTTTAAAAAACAGTCATATGAGGATATATCAAAAGATAGATTGAATGTTCAGAAGCAAAGACAAATCAAGAACCAAAGGAAGAGGCAAAAGAGAAAACGGTTGATTACTGCAAACAAGAAGAGTCAGGCAAAGCAACTTAGTATACTTCTTTTTTTTTTTTGAACTTGATAAGCTGGTCCAGCTGTGTAAACTCCTACTATGATTGTGTGTGTGTGTGTGTGTGTGTGTGTGTGCGCGCGCGCGTGTGTGCGTGTGTTTCATTGTTGTAGCTGTTATTGCTGAGGAACTGAAGCCAGGTCTCCTATATGCTAGGCAAGCTACCATTTGAGCTACACTCTCAGTCTTCCTGAAGGTATCCTGCAGGCATGGGTGTAGGGAAAAATTCTTACATCAAGTTGACTTAGAAGAAGAATTCACAACTTTCTGTGAGAGAAAGACTATTTTATTAGCATGAGACAAGGTTGTGTTATATCTCCACTACTGGGTAGTTTTATCTGAACAATTTAAGATAATTTTGGATTTATAGTTTTAAAAGAAGTCTACTATTAAGTTCCCAAGAGAAGCCTTATTGTGGATAGGATACTTAACAATTTTGTAACTAGAGCATAGATTTAGAGCATAGTTATCTACCAAGGAGAGCACATTTCATTATTCTCCAATGAAGGATATGGAATAATAGGTCAGGAAATATACAAACTACTTTTTTAGTACATGAAAAGCTGTGTTACTTAGACTAAAAAGTGAATTCATA